AAGGGGGGAGGGGGTGCTCCCCTCCCAGGTGCTGTTGCGGTGGCGGGCTAAGGAGCGCTAATGTGGACAAGAAGGAACCAAGGAACCGGCGGCGACGGCGGCGGTGGCGGCAGCGGCAGCAACGGCAGACGGCTGGTCGATCAAGGCCTGCCAGCCGTATTTGCTCGCCGTCGCCGGTCCGGCTGGGGCGCCGTGTGTCGGTGGTCTACCCCTAGGCCCCACCACGCCCCGCCAAGTCAGCACGACTCTGCTCCACACTTTTGCACTGTTTAAAATATGTATCTGGGAATCAGCGAAGAAGTTAGTCGCGATTTAAATTACCGCTGTCCTTATTTGGGTTTCCCCAAACGGCCTCCGTACTAGTGCATAGTGACGATGACTTTTTTAACTGTCGAATTAAGCTTCTGGGCGTGGGCACATCATAACGTGTCTCTTTCAACGATCTTTGCAACAACGGAAAACCGTTTCACAACTGGAAAACGAAAAGCCCTCTGGGAGCTCTGGGGAATTCCCACGGCAGGTGGTTATTAGTGAGTGAATCTTCGTGAAATCCCAACAAAATAATTTGAACAGTGTAGTAACGGCGAGAGGGAGCGCGAAGCGCGAGAGTGTAGCGCGGGCACTCACTGGCGTTCTATCGTGATCATCGCCCACGAGTGCCACCCGTCCCTCCCCGCCCTGCCCTACCCCGCCCTCTGTCCCACCCGCTGCATTGCACTCAACGACACGTTGTTTTGTCGAAATAACGCTTTCACTGCCGACTCTTTGAAATGCATATTCGAGCGCCCTGCTGTTGTCCCCCCCCCCCTTCATCCCTGTCTCTTTAACCCCCCTCCCCCCACCCTACCCCTCCGGCTATCAGCGAGTTTGTTGTCCGGCTTTGTCCGGCCCGTGCCGGAAATGAGCCTCTGCTCAAAGAATAGGCTGTCCTGGCGTGGGCCCTGCTCCTGTCCCTGGACAGCACAGCAGCGGGCGAGCGGCGGACAGCTCGGCTGATCCACTCGTCGCCAGGCCTGCCTGTGCGGCTGCCTCGGCCAGGGGCGCCCGGAGGTGGATCCTGACAAACCTGTCCCTTTCATCATCTTGTCTTCTCCCCCACCGCTAGAATGGCGAGGGGTGTGGGGGGAAGCATTAATGCGATGGTTTACTTTATGCGATTCCGAGAGGTGGGCGCGCGGGTGGTTCGGCTTTGGGCTCGCGGGCCCCGCTCGGCGCTGCATGACCCCGCCCTGCCCCGCCCCCCGCCCACGACTCGAGTCGCGCCAACTCTTTCCATTCCGCTCAGATCGGATTTGATCGGATCGCTGCGCTGCGAGCCGCCCCGGTGTTCGGCGCGAAGAGTCAAGGGACGTTCCCTGCGCACCTCCGCGTCCTAACAATACTGCTTTTATCTTGGTACCGGTTACCGGTTCGCTGCATCGCGTGAATACAAAAGTAAAATATTGTCAGTTAGTCCTCGTCGAAAGAAAATAACGAAAAACGGGACACCTTATGACCGCCATTCAAGAAAGTGGACTCATGTTTACCGTGTATTTTACATTATTTTCTTTCATTTCCCTGCCGCAGGCTTTCACACGTACACCTTCAACTCGACAGCGCACACGCACCGCTTCCCCGACGAGATCCTGGCCGTGATGTACGAGGACGGCAAGTGGAGCAAGCCCTACTACGACTGCGGCGGCGGCAACATCTGGATGCTCACCTACACCGTGCCCTTCTTCGGCTACGCCAACGGCTCCTATCACTTCAAGTGAGTAACGCTCCGTAACGCTCTGCCACGTCGGCCCGGCTTGGGAGGAGCGCCGCCACCACGCCGTCCGCACACAACTACGTCACGTAACGTCTATAAAACTGGCACGAGCTAGAGAGGGGTTTGACACGCGAAAAAAAATATATCAACCTTTCGTTCAGAATCTTTTGTACACACTAAATGTATTTGAATGTTTTTATGCAAACGTTTTGCACCAAGTTAAACCTACGCCTCGTTTCGCAATAAGTTTTACGCCAAAATGCATGTTTTTTTACAAATAAGTGTTCAAATAAACGCAGAAATCTGTGCAAAAAATTTGATTGTTTAAGTTTGTACAAATAAAAGTTACAAATCCAGTTAGTGTGTAAAAGACGTATTTTTGAACGCACCCCAACTGTGCATGACAATACGGATTCCCGGGGGTGACAAATCACCAGCCGTGACTGCTGCAAGCTTCATTAGGAAGTGGAGAGTTGTATAAGATGGAGTGGAAGAGCGGATTACTTTCTGCTCCGCGCCGTACAACAGATTTCTGTTTGATAACTTCGTTTAGGGAGAGACGATTATTATTTTTATTATTATTCCGTCGTTGCCCGGGGTCGCCTTCTGCTTTTTTTCGAAAAAGAAAAGAAAATCCCCGTGACGACGACGACGGCCGTATCCATCTGAAAGACTCTCTAATCATCATCTTCAGAACGCAGAGAAAGGGAATAATTGAAGGAGAACGAGAGAAAAAAAATAAAAAGGTCTGGGTCGATCGGAAAGGCCACATGGGTGCAAAATCCATGTCGGCTGATACGCTTTACCTCAATACGCCTCAATGCGACCCCGCGAGCGACCGTCGGCGACATGGAAAGGGAATTCGAAAGCATGTGACGGAGAGGGCATAAGATAAAAGAGAGGGGGGGGGGAGCGATGCTTGTAAACTTCCAAAGGGAAAGGGGAAGGCCATCCGTGAAAAAGAAGATGTATATAGACACTTGTCATTTCGCACCTTCTCGCAGTCGCCGTGAGAGTAATGGTCTAAACTTGTTTGTGCTTTTGCTCGCTTGCTTAGTTAGTTGCACCCAAATAAAACAATAATAATGACGGTTTCGCCGACTGTTAGTTTTTTCGGTCTCTTAACCCGCCGCTCTCTGGTCCTGCCCTACAGGGGCACGAGCGGCATCGACATCGACCTCCGGAGGGTCGACATCGACCAGTGCCCGCTGCCGCCCGGCTCCACCCAGCTCAACATCTTCGCCGCCTCCGACAAGTGCAAGAAGAGGACCACTCAGGTCAGTCTGTCGCCCAACAGCTCGCTGCCCCATCTGACTTCCTGTCCACTTGCCTTGTCGCACTGCAGCGGGTGGACCCCCCGCCCCCACCCCGTCACGCTGTGACGTTGTATTGTCTGCTTTGCGACGTCGTCTGCCGTCTCAAAGAGTACCCGGGAGACTGTGTGCCTCTACATGAAAGTACAGACACAGACAGACAGACAGTCAGACGGACAGACAGACAGACAGACAGACCGACCGACCGACTGGGGAGAACTGTAACTGTGGTCCGTTTATTGTTTTCTTTTTTTTCATAAGCATAAGTGCGCAGTCTTGCTGCTAGTAATACTATACTTCAGATGCGTCATTTTCCACCTCTTACTTATGGTCTCTCTCTCTCTCTCTCTCTCTCTCTCTCTCTCTCTCTCTCTTTCCCTGTTCTTTTTTTTTTCTGGCACGGCGTTCTTAATTACAGACGGTCGAGAAACTAATATACAATCACTGCCAGCCCGGTCTGCCTCTCGGAAGCGCTGCGCAATTTTCATTGTGATCCAGTGGGGAAATGATTTGTGGTATGGAGAGGAGTGGGAGTTAAGTCCAGCGGGTCCGACCTGTGGGCGTTGACGTCCTGCCAAATGCTCCGCCGCCGCCGGCCGAGGAGGAGTGGTCTGGATAGGAAAATAAATGACATGATAATAATAAAATGATAAAAAGAAATAATGACGAAAGGAGGGGTCGGGAGGGGGGAGTGCTAGAGATAGAGTGGAGGGGGGGTGATAAATGTGAAGCCCGTCGTTGTGCGCACCCCCTGACAACTTGAAGGCCCTCGCAGTTTTATGTCGTGCCGAAGAATGAGACGAGATCCATTTTAATAAGAGGTGCCGACTAATATGCCTCTCTCTCTCTCACTCTCTCTCCCTCTCCCTCTCCGGATCCCGCCTCTATAAAACAGAGACGATTGTCGAGAAAGCATTTAGGCTGATGCTGAGGTTGTATGGACCCTTCAGAGAAAGAGACTATGGCTCAGGAAATTTTGAATCGATTGGTTTCGTTCGTTTTGTCAAAGGAGGTTCCTTATAATATCGTGAACGACGACATCGTTTGCGGTATTATGTACTAGACAAAAAAAAAACTGACAAGAAAATGTCGTTGTTTGCATACGATATTTGTTGCAGTGGAAGGGCGACGCGGATAGGGCTGGAAACCCTGTAAAGTTTCCAAAAAATTTCAGGAAAAAAAAGGAAAATTTCAGGAAAAGAATTGGAAAATTTCCCAGACTTTGTAGGTTTTCCGTTCTTTTCCGGGAATTTTCGGATATTTTCTGGAAAATTTCAACCCTAGACGCGTATGCAATGCAAGTCTGTAGGACTTCTCTGCGAGAGAGAGG